CCCGTTGCCACAAGGTCGCATGTCCTCATTCAATGCACTGAACTGAAACCTGCTCGTAAGCCACTACTAGAGTACCTGGAAACCAACGGCATACCACTCACCATACAGAATGTTTTGGCTCCACCCACGGACCACTGGTATACGATAATGTAACTAGTCTTCCATTTTATAACCAAATCTGTCTTGAACAGATAGGCTAAGTTTTTTTTTTTTTTTTAATCAAAGTTTCTTAACACTTTTTAATTATATCCAATCAATTTAACAAGTTTCATAGCAGAAACATTAGAGAACATCTCTCCCCCCTTGGATTAGCGGATTACTGTCAAGTATCAATTAAGTATAACTCAATTAACTTTTGACACCTGCCACTAATTACTGTGAGTTCGTTCCTTTTTATTCTTTTCTTTTATCTTTTCTTTGGGCGGCCGACAATTTCTTTGGCGGAAGAAATTCAAGCTGCCCTACAAAGCTTTCACTAGGTTTCGTTTTGTTTCGTTGTTCTCTTTTCATTTTCATACTACCAATTTTTGCACAGTCTGCAAGGCATTCTTGATAGCTATCTCTTATCTGTCTTATTGTATTGTATCTTATATTTTGTATTTGTACTAATCAAACCTTCAATTTCAGCTAAAATGGCCTCCCAACAATCCACCAAGGTTAGCTATGCCGATATTGGGAGTCGGCCAGCTGCTACCATGCAACCCAGGGTAGCAAGGCCGGAGTTCTCCAACATCGTAATAGTGAAGCCAAGCGGGGGCAAAACTTTCGGCAGCACGAAGTCGAAGGTCATCGGCGACTTCATCCGGAAAGAGTGGAAGTATAGCTCTCTTCCGGAGGTCAAAGTCCTGGCCAACGGCAACGTGCGGCTGAACTTTGAGTTCCTGGCAGATGCGGTTTATGCTGCCAACCAAACCGCACTGTGTGGGATGAAGGTGGACTCGGCCATGTCCACCTTCAACAAGACGGAACGGGTCGTCATTTATGGCGTCCCCTCCGAGTACTCCGAGGGTGAATTGCTGGAGGATCTTAAGCTCCACAATCACGCTGTAGAGGGTTTATACCTCTACAAACCTCGGGAGGGCAAGTCCGTTAGGACTGTCCAATTAACATTTGCAAGCGGGAAAGTACCTAATGGTCCTCTTCCCCTTCTTTATTCCAGGTACCAGCTCCACCCTTACATCCCCAAGGTACGAAGATGCCAGAAGTGCCAGAAGTTGGGTCACCTAGAGAAGTTCTGCCGCAGCAAAGTTTGCTGCGAAAAGTGTGGAGAGGGGCACAGCACCAAGCTGTGTAAATCCAAGAAGGTACGGTGTGTGAATTGTCGGAGTGATAACCACTCCAGCAACTCCGCACAGTGCCCTTCGTTCCTGTCGAGAAGAGCGGAAATAAGGATACAACACACCTACAAGGTATCCTCCCAAGAAGCTCGCCATCACGTCTCGGCCAACACGGTGCCCGCTGCCCCCAAGCCCGTGGTCGAATGCCCCAAACCTGCCCCGGCTCAAACTCCGAAAGGATTCACGCCGGAGTTCAAGGACGAATCTAAATTTTTTGATTTCTGTTGTAGGTTGGTTGCAGTAGCAATTAGGTCCAGATCCAAGGCTGGTGAAATCAATCCAAAGGACGTTATGGACGCAGTATCAAAAGTATGTGCCGACAATGTCACGAATCTACAACCACCAAATAAGGATACCAAACCAAAGAGGAAGAGATCCAGCACGGATGTTCCGAAGACTGACGTAGTGGGTCAATCAGTGGAAACGCCAAGAAAAGTAAAGACGGTATCCACGAGTGGCCAACCTCGTCAGTCAAGGAGCATCTGCAGAAGTACAGGCTCCAGACCCGTGACTGAGCGCTCTAGAAGCACTTCGCTAGCTAGACCACTGCCCACTGGCTCAGTAACGGAAATCGACGTAGAGGTTTTTACGGCACCCCAGAAGAATCGGAGTATTTCTTACGGGCAAGCGGTCACTGATCTATTGAGAGAGCATCAGCTCGATCAAGTAACGATCCTTGAACGACGCCTACTCCGTTTTGGAAGGTTACCAACCCGACAGTCAACACCCAGCTGATCCAGAGTACCAACAAGCACGAGAACCCAGTGGGAGCAAGAGCTCGCGCTCTTGATCTGATTGATTCCGTGTACGCCGACCATTTGAAGATCTACACCGATGGTTCCAAGAGTAGTACCGCAACAGGTTACGGTTTGTGCATCCCAGCAAAAGGCATCCGCATCAGTAAAAGGATCCCCCCGCACTGTTCAGTGTTCACAGCAGAACTTTTTGCCATCAGGGACGCGGTAGCATGGCTGTCCGTCAATCACACGGAGCATGCCGCGATTCTATCCGACTCGCTAAGCAGCCTCCAATCTATTTTTCTCACCTCTTCTAATTGCAGGTCAGAAGTTATTTCCGAAATAAGAAGAATGATCCACAACTACCAAACCAAACACAACCAGACGATTGAATTAGTATGGGGTCCATCGCACGTCTCCAT